ACGTCGGCCACCACTCTTTCCCGTCTACGAAGCTTCACCCGACCTCACCTCTCCCCGACGATCAAAGCGCCTATGAGATCATGATCGATTGACGATGAATCGATGTTTTATACCCCTCGAACTCTAGGTTGAAAATCGTGATTCCTGCTACCAATCGACAACAAATACGACGACATATGACTAGGAGGATGACAGAGACTATGCCGACGACGATGGTTGTGGCCGGAAAAGGTGGCGGAGGCGGATTAAGGGTAGGATTTGGAGATTTTGAGGATTTGGGGGTTATTTTATAATTTAAGAGAAATTAAAATTTTTTAATAAATATAATATTGTTTTTAATATTTTAAAAAAATAAAAATCACCTCGTTGTGACACGTGTCATTTAATGGAAAAATTAATGTTGTTGATAGTCCGGACACCTAAATGGGTAACGTTTGTAACGTTAGGCACCTAAATGAACTGAAATATACTTGAGACACCTATTCGTGAAAATAAGTATAGTTTGGGCTCTTATTTTATACTTATGCAAATTGTTGCTCTCTCCTCTTATCCTCTCGTTGTGAGAGCACCAAAATGGCTAGGGGTATTCACTATTCGGTTTTAATCGAATTAATCGATCAAATCAAATTAATTTGGTTAATTCAGTCGGCTATCGAATTAGTTAAGTCGGGCAACAGTTAATTTTTTTCAATATTCGGTTAAAGATTAATTCAGTTCGAAATCAGTTAATTAATCGAATTAATCAAATTAATCAAATTATTAAATATTAAATATATTATACATATTAAATCTATATTTTAAACTCAAACCCATTAAGAATTAATATTCAATTATTTTTTAACCGCGCTAAATTTATTAAATTATCAATACTTAATTAAATTTTAACTCAAATAAAAATATCTATATTATAATAAAATTAATCTAATTATAAAATATATCGGTTGATTCGGTTAATCAAATGAAATAACCGAATTTTGTTTAGTTCAGTTAATATTTTCAAAAAAATTTAATCCGATTAACGATTAATAAGTTAATGATAATTCAGTTCGATCAGTGATCAAATTAACTACTTGGGCACGCTTAAAAATGGTCGTATCCAGCCGTATGTTTGAGGTGTTCCACACCAAAAAGAACGATTTTTTTTCTCCCTAAAACTGCTTTTGGTTTTCTCCGGCGGCTTTTGTTGTTGGGTATTGGGAATGGGATTTATAAATGGGCAAAAAAATAAGTATTTGAAACAGAAAAAATGGTTGAATTGTACTTTGCATATACGCCACTTCATGTTTTCATTAAAAACTGTAGCTGGATTATCTATGACCCAATTTGATCAATTACCTCCCCTCCTTTGGCTTTAATTTGAATATTTATCTTATGAGCAAATTAATTTTATAGGATAAACTTTAAATATAATCATAATCTTATTTATATAGAGAAAAATGTATTTTAAAAAAATATATTTTTAATACATTTAAAACCCGTGACCTAAGAGAATATGAAGAATAAATTAATAGACTTATAATTTTTTATTAAAAATAATACCTATAAATTGTGACACTTATTATGTTATATTTAGTTTCTTTAGAGAGAAAAAATAAATTTATTTTCATAAATAATAATAATAAACTATATTATATATCATTAAATTTTATATATATTATTTTTGTTTTTGAACTGTACATTACTTTAATTTTAACATTTAACTTTAGTTTTGTGTTCAATTTAGATATTAATTTTTCCCGTAAACTTTAGTTTGCAAATTAATTTTGTCATTAAACTTTAAAAGTTTCAATTTTAGGGTTTATAGTTTAGATTATGTGTCAATTTGATCCATGAATATATATATATATATATATATATATATCAACTTGTCTAATTGCCCTTGTTAGTCAATCACAGTTTATCATCGATAAAAAGAATTTATCGCTATCTAGATTGATCATAAAAGATATTAGAGAACAATAACTTCTTACTATAAGTTAAAGTATGTATGGAAAAACCTATAATTTTGATGAAGATAATTATAAGGTTTTTTTATGTCAACATCATAATATCACATAGTGTAATTGTTAATTGTGTAATGGTTCCATATTTTAACTGAACAAGAAATTAAAGTATAATATTAAAATTTAATTAATTTAAGAGTGGAAACAACATTGAAGATGCATAATCTTCATGGTCAGTTTTTAACGCTCGGAATGGTGTCTGAGGAGAAGAAGTGAGGAATGCATGATTCATGACTTTTTTCTTCATCTCACAAACATTGTCAACATCGAAATGGATTCGTCTATAAAATTAAACTGTCATCAAATTAAGTTGTTGCTTCCAAAGGAGAAAGTTGATATCTTTAACTCTAATATTAGACTTTCTTGTTGGCGAACATCTGATCATCACTATCAATGACGAACTACGAAATCACACTCACATTTAAATCGTCATCAGTGATATCGATCTGAACTACACAAAATCTAATATTACGGATGTTTATTTTTATTGAATTGAAATTTACTTTAATTAACTAATTGACTGATTAATTTGACATTAGGTAATAGTTTCTTTTTAAAATTGATTCTCTATTAATTCAGCTCGAAATCAATTAATTAAAAATAATTGTATATACGACATATATATATATATATATATATTCAAAGCTCAAAGCCTTTAACAATTAAGATCTAACTATCCTTAAAAAATCCTAGCCGAACCTTAAAGTCATTTTTCTTTTTCTTTTATTCTTGGTTAGTAGGCAACGATACCAGCCCTTGTGTTTGTTGTCTCCGTTGATATTTTTCTTTAATTTTTATATCGCGTATTTATTTTTCTTTATTCTTTTAAATTTTTAGTAATTATACTTTTATAGTATGTTTTTATGCATTAATGACCTATTTTCTATGTTTTTATGGTGTATTTTCGATCGTTTAGTCGTTGTTTTAATTTATCTTTTTTTAGGTTGGATTTGACATCACTACAACTGATCAATATGACATTTATTTCTTATCATGTTGACGTTTTCTATTTTGGGCCCTCGTATTGGATTTGGATGCGTGATTTGCGCTCGTAAAAAGCTTTTTCACATCACTCAACTCTGATTTACAATTTTTCGGTGATCTTTCAATACTTTTTTCCTTTATGGTTCGATTGTTGATGTTGTGATATATGTTCCTACCTATGTTTTGTTCAAGTTTTTTTTTGGTGCTATGTTTTAACTTTTCCCTTGTACGATCCTTATGTAATTTAAGTGGTTAGTTTTTGTTTTAATGATTATAGGAAAATGTCTTAATTATGTGTTAGTTTACGTTTATGTTGTAAATTTTCATTGTAATTTTGAATATTTCTTACTTTTAATAAGTTTACGTTTATGTTGTAAATTTTTATTGTAATTTTGAATATTTCTTACTTTTAATAAAACCAACAGCTTCTATAAAAAAGGTTCAACTATTTTTAGTCATACTAAACCTATTAAACTTTTAAGACTCATTGACTTAATAATATTTCATCTCAAATAAAAAGTACATCTATTAAATTTGAACCGATCTAACTAAAAGAATTTACTGAAAAACTTCGATTAATTTAATCACTAAATGAATTAGCTAAACTTTATTCATTTCGTTTAATTTTTTTTATAAAAAACAATTTTATTTGTAGTTAATTTTTTTTATAATTTAATTCGTGGATGTTCAAATTGACTATTTAAACACCCTTACGATATACAACCTGGGGGGACAAACTTCTCTCCTTGATTCATTCAATCAATTCCATTTTGTTCAATTTTTATACATCATAATATGATGACACATTGCTAGCACATATTTTATATAACAAATTTTATAATATTCTTTGAATTAATACAAAATACATAAAAGAAATTATTTAAATATTTAAAAAATACTGATAATTGTGGATAAGTAAATTTAGAATTATACATTTATATGCCAAAGCTTGATGGTCATTATTTCCGGATTAAAAGTGCGGGATTGTTATATTTATCCTCTCTATTTTTGTTGGAAAACCTCGTACATGCATACAGTGGATATATGACAACTCCATTTCATGTTTTTAGCATGGGTCGGTTTCGGCCAACCCGACACGAAAATTTTACTTCCTTTACTCAACCCAATCCGACCCGAAAAATATATATATTCCTTCCGATCTGAACTCGACCCGATTTTTGAGATAAAATCCGAACTCGACCCGAAATAATAAAAATATTATTTTATTCAATAGAAACAATGATTTAATTTTAAAAAATTATAGAGTGATATTATTATAATTATTCCTAAATATATAAGGTAAAATTATTTTTTTCGGGTCAATATTTTTTAATGAAACCCGAACTCGACCCGACCCGACCCAAACATTACCTTTAAAAAATCTGAACTGACCCGAACCCAAATTTTTTTTAAAAATGCTCGATCAGATCGATCGAGTCAAAACCTATTAAGTTCGGTCTCGTGCCCATCCCCATTTAACACCGTCAAACCAAACAAAAGTCAATTACAGGAAAACGCAGTGATCAAAGCCTTTTACTCAAACCCGAACATACTGTCGGTGGTTTGCAAGGGGAGAAATTATGCATTTGGCCTTTATATTTTAAATCTCATGTAAACCGATCCTTTTATTATTGTTAGCATTATACTTTATGTCAAATCATTAACATTATTAAAAGATACCGCTAATCAATTGGTTTGATGTCTATTTTTCTTCAACATCATTCATCTTAAGAATTTCAATTTATGTACTTAACACAATAGTTATTTTTCATAAATTTACTATAACAAATTTATAGATCAATAAGCCAGATTAATAGAATACGATAATTTATTTTTTGAAATCAAAATTTTAAAATTTAATATTATTAATTAAATAAATTAGATTAAGAGAATCTTTTTAAATTGAACGAATGAATAAATAAATTAAACATATTTATTAATAAAAAAGGAAGCTTTTGGGACGATTACTCCCCATTCATATCCTGCATTGCATTATTGCGACACTTGACCTACTTTCTGCTCCCTTTCTGTCTAATTAAATTCCCTTTTTATCTGCTTCTACTCTAGCGAAGAAACAGGGCAGCTTTCAAAGTTTTTGTGGTTTGAGAGGCAGAAAATGGAGAAAGAATCACCCACATCTCTCTCAATTGCAATCCATTCGCGGCCAACTGCAACTCCTGTGAAGAAGGATAGCTCCTCCATAGCTGGCTTCTTGAGTAAATCTGGGTACAAATTCTGGGTTTTGACTACAATTCTCTTACTTGCGTTTTGGTCCATGTTTACTGGCTCTGTTTCTCTCAAGTGGTCTTCTGGCAATCTGAATACATTCTCTCATGATTCCGATTTCTCTCTTCATCAAGATCTCGACGTCCTTGTAAGCAAATCTTACGTTTCTTTGTGTTTTGTTTGATTTTGCTTGGTTTTTTTTATGAGGGGTTTGATTGATTTAATAGGAATTGGAGGAAAGAGAGAAAGTGGTGAGGAAGATGTGGGATGTTTATACGCATAGCACAAGGGTTCGTTTGCCCAGGTTTTGGCTTGAAGCTTTTGAGGCTGCTTACGAGAGTTTATCAAGTGATGATGCTGGAGTTCGAGATACTGCCATCTCTGAGATTGCTAAATTATCATTGCGATCCATAAATCTTGACTCCCCCTCCGCTCAATCAAAGGTCAGTCTCAGTTCCTTCTCGCCAATACCTGGATTACATTCCAACTAGTCTGAAATCAAAAGGATTTGAATGTGTATTAGGATTGCTAACCTGTCTGTAAATTTTTAAGGCTACATTTTCGTTTCCCCCGACATTTCCCAGTAATTAGTTATGTGCAAAGTTTATTTTTCTCATATATATGTGATGATGGTGGTGTTATAATGTCCAGAGTAGTAGCAGTGAAGGGAGAAAATGAGTTCCAAAGAAGGTGATAAAAAGAAAGGGAATTTGCAGTCCTAATTTGGGGATGCAATCCCCATCTCTCAAGCTGCTTCAACTCATGAGCAATTCCCAATTTCCAGAAACGATGTGTATCGGTACAAGTTTTCTATTATTATCTGAAATTGTAAAAAATAAAATAGATGGTTCGTTTAAGTGCAAGGTTCTTTGTTTATGCTGTTTTCTTGTGATCAAGGTTGGGTTTGATATGAACCCTTAAAGTGTGTCAGCCATGGATCTAATTGCTTCACACAAATCCTGGACCAAGTAGAAAAATAAAAGAGACAAGAGTAAACTTAAAATACTAAAAATAAAAATGAGTGAAGATATGAATAACATAAAAAATATTTTCGGAATTTTTATTAAAATTTTGAAAAATAAACATGAGATTTATGTTTTGAACTAACTCCATTAGTTTAAATCATTCTAACAATGGTATCTGAAACCTCATATTTTTGTAAAAAGAAAACCAATATGATCCTTGAATTTTTTTTACACTCAATAATCCCTTAAACTATTTTTTTAATAATTTAATTTTGTAATATTTTTATATTTAATGTATTGAATATCTTAATAATTGTTTATATTTAGGTAATTTCTTAAATTTTCTAAAAAAATAAATAAGTAATCAAACTTTCTAAGAAATCAATTAAGCCCTAAACTTAGTTAAAAAAATCAATTAAGCTCATCCATCATATCATTGTCCATTTTGTACGACCACTATAATATTGTTAACTATCACATCGACTTTGTAGATTGTCATATAAGCATCGTGACAGTCAACATTTGATTTTATTAGTCAAAGGAACGTTTGATTTCATTGGTCAAAGGGATAAATTGATTATTTTCTTCTTCTTAGTTTAAGAGTCATATTGAGTATTAAAAAATTTCAAAAGGTGCACTAATTTCTTTTTCAAAAAGTACGAGACTCTTAAATAGCGCTAAACATATTTTTTATTTTAATGATATTTTTTGTTCTTACTTACAACAGTGTTTTTTTTTTTGTATTTTTTAATTTAATTGATGTCCAATATGCATTAATATTATATTTTTATTATAAATTAAATAATTTTGTGTTATGAAATTTCTTATCAACTTTATTATTTGGGTAAACTATGCGAATAGTACCCTTTATTTTTAGTCTGATCGACTTTGGTCATCGGTTAAAAAATTAAGCATGTTTGGTCCCTTGCGTTATCGATCGATTCGATTTTAATCCCTCAGCCATTAATGTTTGTTTACCCATTAACAGAGGTATTATGTGACTCCTATTTTTTTTAAATTCATGTGTTTTCTTTTCTTTTCTTTTCTTTTCTTCTTCTTCTTCTTCTTCTTCTTCTTCTTCTTCTTCTTCTTCTCTTCTTCTTCTTCTTCTTCTTCTTCTTCTTCTTCTTCTTGCATATTATTATATTTTTATTATAAATTAAATAATTTTGTGTTATGAAATTTCTTATAAACTTTATTATTTGGGTAAACTATGCGAATAGTACCCTTTATTTTTGGTCTGATCGACTTTGGTCATCGGTTAAAAAATTAAGCGTGTTTGGTCCCTTGCGTTATCGATCGATTCGATTTTAATCCCTCAACCATTAATGTTTGTTAACCCATTAACAGGGGTATTATGTGACTCCTATTTTTTAAATTCACTTCTTCTTCTTTTTTCTTCTTCTCTCTTCTTCTTTTCTTCTTCTTCTTGCATATTATTATATTTTTATTATAAATTAAATAATTTGTGTTATGAAATTTTATAAACTTTATTATTTGGGTAAACTATGCGAATGTACCCTTTATTTTTGGTCTGATCGACTTTGGTCATGGTTAAAAAATTAAGCGTGTTTGGTCCCTTGCGTATCGATCGATTCGATTTTAATCCCCAACCTTAATGTTTGTTAACCCATTAACAGAGGTATTATGTGACTCCTATTTTTTTAAATTCATGTGTTTTTCTTTTTTC